TTTGTTTTCTTTTACTTATTTTCTTTGATTTGTTTTATTTTTATGGTTGTAACATCTAGTTTTGATTGCGTTTGAAGTTTCTACTTTGTAGGGATTTTTAGTTTTTAGAGTGAGATTTTGGTACTCTATTAAGTTATGGTGGTTGTAACTTATTACTTGATTGAAATTTGCATTCCTTGACGATTGTTAGATGGTTGAAGTCTTCCATCATAGAATCTAGTAGCACAACTTATTTCTCCAATGATCTACAACAATGCTAAAGGAATTGTCAACTTATTTCTCCTTGACGATTATATACGTGATATACAAAAGGAGTTTCATTTTGGATATATCTCTTCAAAAAGTTCCAATTAGCTTTAAATAATATACATGAAGAGATTATTAATTTGTTATTTAGAAGACTACTAATTACCATTATCTAAAGGAATTGTCAATTTTTTAATTATTTTTTTTATTGAAATGAGGGTTTAAATAAATAAATAAATAACTCTAAAGAAAAATTACACAATGTAAAAATGAGGGAAACAAATCCTATACATATTTTCTAAAACAATATTGAAATAACCGGGTAGAATACTTGAGAATCAATGCAAACTAAGAGGCAATAAGAAAGTATAATTTTTCATCCAATATGCACAACAATTTGCCTCTCTATAAACATGAATAGTTTGAACCTCGCTAAGGATTTTGCAATAATGACTTGGATCGATCCGACTAGTTGAGTGTTACCGAATTGGTACATTGATGGTTCCGAATTAATTGTATTGTAGCTTTAGAATCCGATTCTACCTCTATTTTCTTGACTCTCATATCCTAAGTAGTTTGTAAACTTGTATAAATTGCTCATAACTCTACTATGATAATAGAACAAATTCCTATATTATAGGCAAATCCTCCAAGCCATCCACCAATAGTATCCCTTAGGACTCCGCCTACAGAAACACATTCCTTATTTAATTTAACAAAGTCATTTGTGTTAAGCTTAATTCACTATGATTTTAGTGGTAACCAAGAGATCACTAATTCTAGTTTAGGTGGCTTTTGATTAGCACATTTTTAGAGATCCATGGCTGTTTTCTTAACCTCCTCCACACGAGAAATGACCTCATACAAGAAATTATATGGCAGGGAGAATTAGGATAAAAAAAAAAAAAAAAGCTCATATTACACCAATTCATAAGCTCTAACAGATCATCCCAAATCATATTATCCATGGAGATTTAGAAACATGGATAAGAGTGGAGTTCAAGTTTGCGTTGAGCCAATCCAATAATGACATGGTATTGAAATCAAAAGTAAAATGAGGGATGGAGATTGATTCCCAAACCTGTTACACAAAAGGACAGTCTTGAAGAAAATGAATTATATCTTTTACTAGGTCCCCATATCTTGAACAAGAGCTTTCGGCTACCATTTGTTATCTAAAATACTGGCACTTCTTAAGGAGTCGATCATGGCCCACTAACCAAAGAAAGGACGGAATTCGTAGGGGTCCAAGCCAACTCCACATAAGCCTCCAGATTTTGTTCTCTGCTATAGTTTCAGAATTAGAAAGAAGGGAGTATGCTAATTTAGTTGAGAAATTTCCACTAAAAAAGGCAACCTAAACAACCCGATCATCTCCCAAATAAGTATGTGGACACAACATACTAGCAATTTAGAGACAAAGAGATGAAGGTGAACATTGTTGGAACTTGGTCCATGCGTATTGTCCACTTTGAGTTATATAGGAACTTACCGGCTCATGTAGAATAGATGTGGCAATAGGTTGAGTTGCAAATGTAATTAGAGATGCATCGTGCAATAACCATTTATCAAGCCAAAACCGTGTAGTGTTACCATATCCCACACACCATGCAAGCCCTTGAAGGATGTTCTACCAATCATTACAGATACCTCGCCAAATAACAGAGCCAATAATGCACTTAAGCTCATTAGGAGTGTGTTCTACATCAAAATTGTATTTGCACCCCAGGACCCATACCCAAAGACTACCATGATCCATCAATAATTGCTATCCTAATTTCCATAGCATAACATCATTATTGTCTCTAGCTTTCCTGATGCCTAAACCCCCATAAATCTTCAATGAGAAAATTTTATCCCAACTGAGCAGATGTGTCTTTTGTTTTCCTAGTTAGGATCCCTAAATAAAGTCTCGATAAATCTAATCAACCTCTTCATAAATTGAAATAGGAAGTCTAGCAGTTTTCATAGTATACACCGGAATAAAGGAAAGAACCGATTGACCAAGGGTGATTCTCCTAACTAAAGAAAGATATTTCATCAGCCACACAGCCAGGCGGTGCTTGATTTGATCAATAATATGACTGTAGGCTTGTTTCGTCACCCTACCATACAGCAGAGGAACTCCTAAATATTTTTCAAGATCATTAGTCAATTGGAAACCAAATCTTGCACTGAGAAAGTGAGCAAGCTGATTTGATGTATTAGGAAGAACATAAGAGTTTGGTTTTTGAGTAGCTTATTTTCTACTAGAACTATAGCAAAATGACTCCAAGCATTGATTAATCGTTTGGACTTGTGTCATATTAGCTTCTGCAAACAGAATCAAATCATCCATAAAGAACAAGTGAGAGAGTTTCGGACCATTACAACTGAATTGAATAGGTTTCTAGTTGCCATTTTGCACTTCATGATAAAACAAAATTAATAACAAATTATAATTTTTGATATCATTATGCAACGAAGATAGAGATTATTTGTTTGATTTATCTCATTAATGAAATTACTATATTTTATGAAAAAAAAAATATATGTCATTGATTTTTGGACAAGTGAGTTTGGTTTTTAGTAGAATTACATTTCACGATAATTAGGTGAGAATAAAATGCATATAATTTATTTTCATAAATATTTTTATGAAATTTTTATCATGAATTTTCTATATCAAATAAGCTTTTTTTTTTTTTAAATCTATCCACTAGTTAAGTGGGCATATATCAATTGAGAGTAAATTATGGATTAGTCACTTGATTTTAAGAAAAAACGAATTAATTAGTAGTTTTCATTTCAAAAACTAATTATTATTATTATTATTATTATTATTATTTTTTACCATGATTGACTACGTTTACTTTAATATCATTTTATTTTATTTTTTAAATATATCTTTTCTTATTGATTCTTTCATATTTTTTATTTTTCTATTTCTTAAGATAAAAAATTAAAAAGAACAAAAAACAAATTGAGTTACAAGAGAAATTTAAAATATATGAATTAAATAATTGTTTTTGAACCAAGGAGAATTGATTCATCCGTGTTTCAAAATTAGAGGGACTAATTTATAATTTACTCTATAAATTGACTCCTCGTTCATATGGGTTGGTAGGTGCATATGCTTAAAGCTTCACCACGTGGATCGCTAACGATCGTGAGTTCTTAAGGCGATGTTCTACCTCTACGGTCCTTTTTTGCGCACCAAAATACTCCATGCATTATCATATTTTTCGGAATAATGATAAAGATACTATTTTTTATACACAGCTTTTCATAGAGTTAAATTTTTTTATTATTTTTTTATTCAAACTTTTAAAATCAATATTTATAAAATAAAAAATTTATTAAAATTTTCTAAATACATCTTTAATATTATTTTTTAAAAAATAATTTGTTCTCAATTAACACATAAGTTAATCTCAAATGTCGCTAAAAAATAATAATTTAATGCACAATATATCATAATTGCCATATAGTTATTAAAAGAATATTACTCATAAATTATATTGATATAGCATTATTTCTATTTGATCATGATCAGCAGATATTGCAACTTGGCTGTATATTTGCGAGGATTAGAATAAGAAGAAGAAAAAGATGATGGCCAACGAAAAGGAAGCAAGTAGCTAGTTTCATAATATGACTAACTTAGAATCTTTGGCATTAAAGGAGAAGGTAAAGAGAAACGTCAATCTTGGCATGGTAGCAAACAAATCAGCAAAGAGGTAGTTGGTACGGTAGGTTAAACAATAAATTATGAGGCTAAACATTGCTATTGGTCCCTCTATTTTATTTTGGCTCAAATTTAATTCTTTTCTATAAATTGAGGGCGGTTTTTTTTTTTTTTTTAAAAAAAACGATTTCTGTTAAATTAATCGAGTATCGTTTATTGATTCAGATAAAGGTTGATCGAATGTGCCGCATGTATAGATAGGATTAAAAATCATTCAGAAACATAAGATGGTATTAAAATCAGTTAACACTAACTATAATATTTTTAATAAAAAATGTAAATTAAAAACATTATTATAATAAAAAAATTAAATATAAATTAGAAAGAATGACTATTTCTTATTCATAATTAAAATCATAATACAAATTTTAAAAAATTCTTTGTATTTATTTTAGAATTATTTGTATCTGTTATCTTTTTTAATGTTATTCATGCGCCGGCACCATTCATTATTACTTGCTGCTAACTTAAGATAATCTCGTAAACAAAGTGTTTACAAAAGCTTGGAAATAGAAAAGAGAATTCAATTGACAACATATTGTAAAAAGGATCAAATTGATCAAATGGAAAAGTGGAGCGAGCAACCATGATTTCTGGGCTAAATTATGATTTGTTTTTTTTTGCTTCTAATTATAGACAAGTGTATCTGTGAGTAAGTTTGTACGTCAACCGAATCTGATTTCTTTTCTGGACGATTTAAAAAAAAAAACATTTTCTATATTTAGATGATGTATTTAAATAAGTTTAATAAATCAAGATAAATTTATATTAAAAAAATTACAAAAATATTTTTTAAAATAAAAACTAAATAATTAATTTTTAAAATAAGATAAACTAATTAATTGGTTTCTGAAAATTAGATGGACTAATTTATAATTTACCCGGCTAAACTAGGGTGAAGCAGGACTGACATTGGAAGGAATGAAGGGGAGATAATCACGAGCTCTCCAACTTCCAAATTCCAACGTACCTACCAACCCTTAAACTAGGACCGTAAGTGGTAGCTCGAAATATTAAAGAGGCTTAAATGTTAGCTGCTCTCTCACTTCTCTTTGCCAACTCTTCCTGCAATATTTCCCTTTCTCAAGTAGTCATACTACGTACTACGCAAGGCTTCCTAGCTATGTGTAAGATCAATTTTCTTTCCAAGTGTCTTCTTTATAGGATTTTCTGATATCTAGTATCTAGAGCCCATATCGATCATAAAGTTCACACACTGCACTTGACTTTTATATATATGAAAAGATTCGTAATATTGGTCATAAAAATTTATCACACTACTTATTAGTAATTTGATTTTGCTGCTTTTTTTTTTCAAAAGGGAACTGAATTGAAGTGTACATTTTCCATTTCCTAGATTTAATGGTTTTTATGTGGACAATATTGCAGCGGGCACGGAAATGGTTATGGTAGATGAAATCCCTTTTTCTCCACAGATAACAATTGCAACCAAGCCCTTGTCTTTGCTTGGTCATGGTAAGCTCTGTTCATAATTTTGCTGTTCCTTTCTCTTTTCTTTCTACTTTTTAGTTACCAAAATGTTATCAAATGAATCCTTGTACAAATTTATTTTGTTATCTAACCGTATCGAAAAGAAGTATTTTCTTTGTCAAATTAATGGTGAATGATCAGAATATGCCTGGTAATAGGAAACTTGCTACCCGCTGTACATAAATTTGATAACGAAAACTGTATTTTCTAAACGTAAGCAGGTAAGAGTTTTGAAAACATTTTTCTGTTTTCTTTTTTATGTGGTGTGATGGATCCCTAGAAGTAGCTGTCCCTGTAGAATCTCCAAATATATGCGGATTCCTGAATTTTGAGCTCTGGGATTTTCTTATTAAATGTGCCACTAAGTAACGTGGATGTTGATTGGAACAGGAATTACCGACATTGAAATACACTTTCTCCAAATTAAGTTCACTGCAATTGGAGTTTACTTGGACCCTGAAATCGTGGGCCACTTACAACAGTGGAAGGGAAAACCTGGAAAAGAGCTAGCAGAAGATGATGAGTTCTTTGAAGCTCTTATTGCTGGTAATAATTAAGATAACAACATATTTTATTACTCTTCATATAATTTAGGATTTGCAGTCACTATTAATTTCCATGACAGGAGAGGACATGCCATCTGACCATTTCTTGAGGAACGTGATCTTCTAATTTAATTTGTTTTTTCCTTTTTTGATAAATTAATGTTCAGCTCCAGTTGAGAAATTGATAAGGGTCGTGATCATTAAGGAGATCAAAGGCTCACAATATGGGGTGCAGCTAGAGAGCGTCGTAAGGGACCGATTGGCAGAGGCTGACAAATATGAAGAGGAGGAGGAAGAAGCCCTGGAGAAAATTGTTGAATTCTTCCAGTCCAAGTATTTCAAGAAAAACTCTATAATCAAATTTTATTTTCCATCAACTTCACCTACAGCCGAGGTAAAATTTAGAGGACCATATTGGCTAACTATCTTGTCCATTATTGATAGTTTAATGCTAATTGGTATTGATTTCTGGTTATGATAACATCTTTGCATTTGTTTGTTTGTGTGTGTGTGTTCACAGATTGTTTTTGCCACTGAAGGGAAAGAAGAGTCAAAAATCAAAGTGGAGAATCCAAATGTTGTGGATATGATCAAGAAATGGTACTTGGGTGGAACAAGAGGGGTTTCACCTACCACCATATCCTCCCTAGCTAATACCATTTCTGCCGAGATGGCTAAGTGAAAATGGGCTGGGAGATAATGGGCTTTGTCGTTTATCTATTTTTGTGCTTTTTTATGTTTGAGCTACTGCTAAATCACTGAAACTTTACCCTTTTTGGGCCAATAAACTATGAGTATTACTTCGAGCCTTGTATAATCTTTTCACCGATGAGCTAACGAATGGTCTAAAAAAGAATAGCGAAGAAGTATCGTGTTGTTCATTTGCAAGTGAGAGTGTCTAGTGTCTATGGTGGTAATCCAAAGTATTTTGAAACATGAAAGACCACATGATTCTTGAGCCACTTCTGCTGTTGAAAAAAACGGCCATTCTTAACCTGGCTATGAAATGAAAACAGCTGTTACAAATAGTGGAAATAAAACAAGTAATGACAAATAATAATTAAAAAATAAAACTAAACAAATTATTAACATATAGTATTTATGTGGTTCGGCAAATTATTTTCTACAAGAGCGAGAGGGAAGTTTTATTAGATTAATAGCAAGAGAATACAAAAATCCTAAAAGTTAAATATAAAGTCTTTATTTTTTACTATATTTTCTAAATAGAGATTTAAGGAGGTTTAAACACCTTATACCTATATATATATATATATATTAAAAAAAAAAACACTAATAGGCTAAATATATTATTAGACCATAAAATTCAAGCCATATTCAACAAATCTACACATTAGCTTGAATTCTACAAACCTTTAAGAATGTCAAATAATTTCTCAAGACACTTCTCTAAGCTTACGTGAGCTAACTCGATGTAAGAAATAAGAGATGTGAAGAGAGAAAATATTGATTTTAATATTACGACTAAAAAATTTATTCTCTCCAACAATACCCTAAAATGCACGGACAAATGCTTAAGGCACACGAGTAGTTTCATAAGGCACAAGCACGAGCACTGAGCTTTAACTCACATGGGCATAAGAAAATTCACACGGCCACAAAACAAAAGTTTCATATGGCCATAAAAAAATTCACACAAGAGAGAGAAGAAAATCACATGACCGTCCTTGTCTTTTCAGCAACACACATCACGCGACCAATGAGACTACACGCGACTCTATGATACTTTTTTTTATTTTCTTAACAATGCTCAAGTCTAAACAATACGTAAACTTATTTATTGTAACAAGTTTAGTTAACACATTAACTAGATTGTCTTTAATGTGAACTTTCTTTGTTGCAATCTTCTTGTTAGAAACCGCTTCATAGATGAAATGATACCTAATATTAACATGCTTGGTCCTCTTGTGATGTGCTTGACTTTTGGTTAAGTGTATAGCATTTTGGTTGTCACAAAAGACAACTGAATTTTCTTCTTATTGAAGACCAAGTTCCTCCACAAGATTTCTCTCCTTCACGACCTCAGCCTATCGCTATATATTCCGCTTCGGTATTCAATAAAGCAACCGTCGATTATAATATTGATCTCCAACTAATAATAGAATCTAAAAGTGATATACCCCATCAAAGATCTTTTTTTTTATCGAGATCATTTACATTGTCGAATCCACAAAGCCTACAACGAGAGGTTTTAGAAGCACTATCCATTTTAAAAACTAAACCCAATTTTACGATACCTTTGAGATACCTAAGAATCCACTTCACTCGCTTGACAATGTACCTTTTCTAGATGAGCCATATATCTCGCTCACAACACTCGATCGTTTGAGTAATATCTCGGATGAGTGTAGATCATAATATATATTATGCTACATACTATACTAGAATATGAAACTTGTGAAATTTTCTTCTCTTCTTCTTCTTTTTGAGGTGATCGAGAAGTTGAAACCGATCTTTTTTTATTGAGATCACTTGCATAGTAAGAATCCTCAAAGCCTAAAACAGAGGTTTCGAAGCACTATCCATTTTAAAAACTAAACCCAATTCCGTGATACCTTTGATATACCTAAGAATCCATTTCACTACTTGACAATGTACCTTTTCTAGATGAGCCATATATCCGCTCACAACACTAACTCGCTTGAGTAATATCTCGGATGAGTGCGGATCATAACATATATTATGCTACATACTATACTAGAATATGGAACTCATGAAATTTTCTTCTCTTATTCTTCGTTCCGAGGTGAATGAGAAGCATAAAGTTTGAAGTAAGTAGCTAATGAAGTACTAAGATGTTTGGCCTTCTACATACCAAAGCGCTCAATCACTTTCTCAATATATTATTTCTTTGAAAGGTATAATTTTTTAACTTTTCTATCTCTCTAAATCTCTATACCTAAGATCTTTTTTGATGTTTTAAGATCTTTCATCTCAAACTCATCATTGGGTTATCTTTTCAAGCACCTAAATTTCTAATATATTCTTGGCAAAAATAAGCATGTCATCCATATACAATAAAAGATCCATCTGCTAACTATCCGAAATACACACAGCTATCATAAGTAGATCTTAAATAATCATGACTAAGCATAAAACTATCAAACCTCTTATACCACTTCTTTAGTGAATATTTTAGGTCATACAAAGATTTTTTCAATCTATAAACATGGTCTTCTTTCCCTTTCATAAAGTATCTCTCTGATTGAGACATATAAATAATCTCCTCAAGCTCTCTATATAGAAAAGCTATTTTCATATCTAGTTGCTCAAGCTCCAAATCAAATTGAGTCATCATAGCAAGCAATACACAAATAGTAGTATGCTTCACAACTGAAAAAAAATACTTCATTATAATTAATTCCCTCTTTCTAGCAATAAACTTTAGCCATCAATCGTGTCTTAAATCTAGCATCTTCAACATTTGGTATTCCTATCTTCTTCTTATAGACCTATTTACATCCGATGATTCTATTACCTTTAGGTAATTTCATCAAATCCCAAATCTGATTTTTGTAAAATGACTTAAGTTTTTCTATCATTGAAACGACCCACTAATTAGACTCTTCATAAATCACTCGTCTTTGTACGGATAAAAAGCTTCTAAATACCTTTTATCTTAACTCTAGTAAGGATATAGGCTACTAGATCAGCATAATCATATTTCTAAGAAGGTCTCATCTCGTCTCCTCTCTTGGCCAGTAACTATTAAGAAAGGCTATTTAGATTACGTGGTATCTTCATTCATATCTAAATCTTGTTGCACATCTACAATTGTAAGAGATACGTCTAGGGATGATTTTTGAGAAGTCTCTCTCTATTAAACTCCACTTGAAGCTCCAACTTGTTCACGACTTTTTTAACCTTTTTTGTAGACTCACAAACAATATTTTCTTGATCAAGTATATATCTCTCATTAAAAGTAATATCTTTATTAATAATGAATTTAGACGAATTGGGTTCAAGACACTATAGATGATAACCTTTCACCCAATTAATATAGCTAATAAATATGTATGTTTTTACTTTAGGTTCAAGTTTATCATCTTTAACATGATAATAAATAGGCATCCAAATAATTTAAATTTAAACAATCACTAGTTTTATCTAATCATATCTTCTTTGGAGTCTTACAATCAATGATAGTACAATGAGAAATGACTGATAAGATAACAAATCGTGTTAACTTCTTCGACCCAAAAATCTTTTTCCAAACCCGAATTAGAGAGCATCTCTTTATCAAAGTTCTATTCATGTGCTCTGTCATCCTTATTTTGTTGAGGAATGTATCTAACTATACGATGTTGGATAATCTCAAAATTTATACAAAACTCATTAAAATTTTTAACACGTAATTCCAAGCCATTATATATTCAAAGACATTTAACCTCTTTCCCTGTTTGATTCTCTATTAGAACTTTCTATTGTTTAAAAGTTTTAAAAACACCATTCTTATGTTTGAGAAAATAAACCCAAACCTTTTGAGAGTAATCATTAATAAATGTTAAAAAATAAAATGCACCTAATTCGGAAGAAACCTAAACTGGTCCTCACAAATCTAAATGAATGTAATCAAGTGTGTCATTTATAGAATAAGTGACAACGGATAATTGCATTCCAATTACTTTCCTAAGATATAATGCTCATAAAAATCAAGTGATATCATTTGATCACCTTAAAGCAAACCATGTTTACTCGTAGTAGTCTTACCTTTCTCACTCATGTGGCTTAGACTATATGCCATAATTGAGTTCTTTTGTTTTTAAGTAGGAAGTAATCACCCATATAGAGCATGTTACTATACTACCTTATAACACATAAAAATGATTAATTTAAGTTGCTTTGATCATAACCAAAGAACCTTTAGAAACCTTAATAATTCTAATTTTATCAAAATAACTATAACCTCTCAAATTCAGATAGCTTAAAAAAATTAGATTCTTCTTCAAATTTGGCATATGTCTTACTTTCATCAAGGTCCTCAAAATTGAATCATGACACCTAATATAAATTATACTAATATCGGTTATCTCATAAGCTAAATTGTTGCCTATTAGAATATAGCCACCACTTACGGATTCATAAATGGTAAACCACTCTTTATTTGGACACATACGATAAGAAACACTTGTATCCAAAATCCACTCTTGATTAAAACAACCATCTAGAGGACATGCAGCAAGAACACTTTCAATGGCATCAACATTAGTAGCCTTCGCCATATTAACGAGTGTAATAAACTAAAAAAAAAAAATAGGTATAAAAAGGGTAGTAGGCTTCCTTTTGTTTTTCAAAATTTTCTTTTTTCTTCCCCTTTCCCTCTCTCACGCATTCTTCTCCCAAAATTCCTCCCAATTCTCACTTCAATTCCTAAGCTAATTACTTGTTAAATTAGTTTAGAAAAGCTGTAAACAAGAAGATTCGAGTGGAGTTAGTCGGATTAGAGCTTGGGAAGCTTGGTAAAGTAGGGGGAACTTAGGAGTTGAAGGATAAAGTTTAATGGTGAGATTTTTGATCAATTGATCTTTAAATTAGAATTTTTATATGTAATTGGTGATGATATTAAAGTTGAACTGCATTGGTGTTATTTGAATGAAGAATTGATTATATTAAGGTTAAGGTTTTTGAGACCCATTTAGGGAAAGGTTTGATTAAGTGATTTGA